GGTAGTAGAGAAGCCCTGCTGGTGGCCAGAGTAGAGGGGCACCTAGTGACCGGAGGAGGGTACGACTAGGGAAGTTAGAGCGAGGACCTGCTTGTGCCTGTGTTTACAGTGGGTGATGGAACAGGACAGAAGAGGCTTTCCTACGACAGAGACGGTAGAAGGTTCACAGAAGGTCGTAGAGTCCAGGGCAGAAGGACTGGAGAAGTGACGGAGGTTGGGGGGTGCAGAAGTTCTGGGCAGGGCACACAGAAGGTGAAGGAACGGAGCTGGTGCCCCTGAGCTTCCCTCGTCTGTGTTATCTCATCCTCTCTCCCGTCCCCCAGGCCTCAGCCACCCCTCCGGATGCTGGTGTTGCCGTCGCCCCCCTGCCCGCAGCCCCTGGCGCTTCCCTCCGCAGAGGCCATGGAGGCCCCTCCTTCTCGGACAGGCAGGTCCCCAGAGCCCGGACCTTCCTCCTCCACAGGACCTCCCCAGCCTTCCTCCCCTCCGAGGCCCAACCACTACCTGCTTATTGACACCCAGGGCATCCCGTACACCGTGCTGGTGGACCAGGAGTCTGAGAGAGAGGCCGGGGCAGATGGGGCTTCAGCTCAGAAAAAGTGCTACAGCTGCCCCGTGTGCTCCCGGGTCTTCGAGTACATGTCATACCTGCAGCGACACAGCATCACCCACTCGGAGGTGAAGCCCTTCGAGTGTGACACCTGTGGGAAGGCATTCAAGCGGGCCAGCCACCTGGCTCGGCACCACTCCATTCACCGGGCTGGTGGCGGGCGACCCCATGGCTGCCCGCTCTGCCCTCGACGCTTCCGTGAGGCCGGTGAGCTGGCCCAGCACAGCCGGGTCCACTCGGGGGAGCGCCCGTTTCAGTGCCCACACTGCCCACGCCGATTTATGGAGCAGAACACCCTGCAGAAGCACACTCGGTGGAAGCATCCATGAGCCGGGCTGCCGGGTACCCCAGGTGCCATGGGGTTCTGGGGGGAGCCCGGACTCTTGTGGCCCTCAGACACGTGGCCAGTGCGGAAGGCTGGGTTGCAGCCCTGGACACAGACACAGACACACTTCCTGCAAATGCCAAGCCCTGCCTGAAGGAGGAGCCCCTGAGTAGCCTTTGGATACTTTGGAGATAAAGGTGGAAAGGAGACCTTACCTTCCTAGGGTGGAGCCTCAGGCTGAGCCTGACCAGGTGCCCAGGAAACAGTGCTATGTGTGAAAATCCTCCAGCCTGAAAATCGTGGTTGGGAGCCATCAAGCATCTGCACCAGCTTCCTGACGCCCCCTTGTTGATGCTGGGGGAAGGGGCCCCAGACCTGCCTTGCACCCCCCAGCCAGGACTTGAGACTGGACACCCAATAAACACCTTTCCCATTTTGAGCACTTGAGATTTGTTTTTGGGCACAGCGGTTTGGCCTGCCTGCTGCCCAGCAGGGAGACTCAGCAAGTGCCTGGCCCACCTCTTCTTGGGCAGAAGAACAAATCGGCCATGTCTACTCTCCGGAGAGGGAAAGAGCTTCCCACTGCCTGACCTCAGATAACACTAACAGCGTCCTGGATCTTGAGCGCCGCCTGTGGCCAGGTGCTGGGCTGAGCATTTCACCTGGGTCATCCCAAGTGCATCCGCACAGTGCTTGGCTTGGCTGGCTGGGGATGGGAAGGTTGGCCTTCTGCACTGGGATCAGTCCTAGCTTGACCCCTCACAAAGGGTGTCATCTAGGTAGAGTGTTGTTAAACCTTTTTTTCCTTAAAGCTAGGATCTCCTGTAAGAAACACATTTTATATGGCAACCCAGTAAACATACACAAAATATATGTGCAACAAAAGTTCAGCAGTACTTAAATCTCTGCCACATGCAATTAACTTTTTTCCTTTTTGCTAATTCCATTCTACTATATTGAATTCCCTGCCCATGAACCTGTAGTTTGCAAAATACCTATCTAGGGCAGGTAACTCCCCCTGGACGTTTTGACCCAGGCTACAGTTTATCTATGATGTGAAGCAGGTAGGAGAGGGGTGTGGCCACAGCTTTCTAAATGGTGCAGACCTTTAAATTCTCCTTCTGCAAGGTCACAGCCCTGCTCTCATAGAGCTGGCCAAAATTCCAGTAGCA